CCCTATATCATATCTTTGCCTGACTTTGTACTGTAGTGAAAATGAGGTGACTCTCCGGGTGTGCTTTTTGGTGAGTTTTCCTCATCTGTGAGTTCAGCAGTCACCACCAATTGACACTTACCAGTGGCAACAGATGGACCTCTGCTAAATAAAACTCCTCAGAGCTCTAGACTTTAGCTACGGCTTCTCTATACAGTGAAGACTAATGTCATGAGACCCAGAAGTAAAGTTCACCTCACCTTGTGCAACTCAGTGTTGTGAGGAGGTAGTAGCTCCCGTCCCCAGAAGCAGTTGAGTTGCGTCAGCCTGTCACTCTGCCAAAATTAATTTGTTTTGCTTCTTCAGCACTGATGAAGTTATACAGCTGCTAATTTCAGAGCCACCTTGGTGAACCCTATCTTGGTGGGGTGTCTCTGCTTGATGGTGTAGCTGCAAACAAGCTCACTATGATATAAGGCTTAGGGTCTAATAAAAAAGTCTCTCAAACGCTTGGACAACTTTTAAAATCTCAGGCTATTAAAAGCTGTGTCTACCAGGCATTTAACATTCCCAGGTGCATTTTCTATTTTCACATAACAAAAAGGGCCTTTCTCAAATTTGCTAAGTTGACTGTAATGTCCATTTGTTCTCCAAAAAATCAGATTTCAGTAAAGTTGATCCACCTTGTATTTTAAAATCACAGTTTTTGTTTGGAAGGATTTATTTGCCAAAACAATACGTACTGTGCCCTGTATATGAAAAAAAGTAATTTAAAATACAAATTTAAATACATTTTCTTTACTATTAATTGCATTCCACTCTCATATCTCTTGATTTTCCAGCAGTTTAAAGAAATGCTTAACACCTTCAATTCTCAATCATGTCAATAGCCACTGAGAATCAGGATGAGATACAAAGTTACTGCTTCAGCAATAAAAGATTTTTTTTAGAAAACAACTATAAAGCAAATACAAAAAGAACCTTCCTACATTAGAATTAAATAAATGACTGTTGAGCCTATTCCCTGAAGCAGGGACTAATGTAGTCACAGCTTCAGCATTCTGTGCATATAAAATTTTTTATACCAGTTAAAAAGATTTCAATAAAAAGTCACCTTTCAAAAATGGAAAACTGCTGCTAGTGAATTATATATCTTGAGAGGTATCCAATATTTACCCCTGGAGGGATTTTTTCTTACAGAGGCTCTAACTCCATACCACATGGAAATGCTCATCTTCCCAGCTGTTTGGACAAAGGTTAGCATGATAAAATGATTTGTTATGCCAATAAAGTTTTTGTTACGCTGTAAAATGGTTCGTTACGCTACCACTGCTACATAAAAATGTTATGAAAATTAAGTAGGTTGTAAGGTCCAAAAAAGGAATAGGCTACTTTTAGGACTAGCTGCTAGGAAAAGAAAAAATAGAAGAATCTTCTGATCTAGGATCCTTCAGTACTGTAAAATGACAACCTAAACGACCTTTTAACTAATAATTGAAATGAGTACCCCAATTAGGAAAGCCGTTATGCATCTGAAATGAATGGGAACTTCCTCAGGTCAACAGTACTCAGAAAACGGGATGAAACTGCAACAAGTCTGATAATCTAAGTTGTGACTTCTGTCCTGTGTGACAGGAAATTAAACAAGCCTAAACTACAGTCCAGAATGGAAACTGAAGTACAGGCTCATGGCACACTAATCATAATGTGTCACAGATGGGATAGCGGGATAACAAGCCTGGAGGAAAATCTTACTCTGAGTACAGGATTTTAATTTTAACATTGTGCACATCAGTCAAAACCAGTATCTGAGTCTGGTAACTACTTAATTCACAGTCAAGCTTTGTTAGTTCCTGGCACATTTTGAATTTGCAATGAATTGTATCTAGAATTTGTGAATGACTGTTCCATGCAATCATTCACTCCACAGGAAAGGGGAGGCCTTTTGCTTTGTAATTATGACATTATTTTTATACTATTCCATTTTTATATTCCTTTTCATTTGTACATATTAAATGTTTTTATTCTATTATTCTAATACTAATATTTGTTTTCCTGTCATTTGATAAATTTTGACTATAACTGTACTGCACTGCTAAGTGCAGAAGGAAACAGCTTCTGATTTCAACAGCCAGCTGTATTTCTACTGAACTCTACATTTGTTTCTAATCACTAAAATTCTAGAACAATTTCTAAAACAATATTTCTTTTTTCTTGTAGAAGTGAGGAGATATTGGAAATATTTATGGTTTTCTCTCCTTAGACCAACTAACTGTTTCCCCTATACAGGCTCCCTGAACCAGAATGGATGGCACTGTGTTGGGGGGAACTTTGCTGCAAAGGAAGAGCTCATGGGAGAAGGAACCTGCTTGGAATATCAGGCCTCCTTGCTCTCAGGAAGGTGCATTCAGTCATGCTTTGTGGCTGTAGTGTGCAAAAGTCTTCTGCAGGGGCTCCTTTGGCAGAAACTGTTCAACACCTGTTGCTGTTCAGCATCTTTGTCAGCAACATGGACAACGGCATCAAGTGCACCCTCAGTAAGTTTGTCAACGACATCAAGCTGTGTGGTGCTGTGGACTCACTTGAGGGCAGAGATGCCATCCAGAGGGACCTTGACAGGCTTGAGAAATGGGCCAGTGCAAACCGCATGAGCTCCAACAAGTCAAAATGCAAGAAAAAATGCAAGGTCCTCCCCTGGCAAAAGGCCAATCCCTGCCACAAATATAAACTGTATATGGAGTGGGTTAAGAGTAGCCCCAAAGAGAAGGATTTAGGGGTGTTGATAGATGTGAAGCTCAACATGAGCCGGCAGTGCGCTCATGCAGCCCAGAAGGCCAACCGTGTCCTGGGATGCATCAAGAGGAGTGTGGCCAGCAGATCAAGAGAAGTGGTTCTCCTCCTTTACTCTGCTCTTGTGAGATCCCACCTCAAATAACTGCGTCCAGTTCTGGCATCCTCACCATAAGAGGGACATGGATCTGTTGGAACGAGTCCAGAGGATGGGCACAAAGATGCTGGAGCACCGCTTCTATGAGGACAGGCTGAGGGAGCTGAGATTGTTCAGCCTGGAGAAGAGAAGACTCCCAGAGGATCTAATAGCTGCTTGAAGGGAACCTACAGGGAGGGTGGAGAGGGACTTTTTACAAGAGTGTACACTGATAGGACAAGGGGAAACGGGTTTAAGTTGAAGGAGAATAGATTTAGATTGGATCTTAGGAAGAAATTATTCAGTATGAGGGTGGCAAGACTTTGGAATAAATTGCCCAGAGATGTTGTGGCTGGCCCCTCCCTGGGGGGGGTCCAGGCC